GCCAGGCCACACTGATGGGCCGGGGGTAGAAGGCGGTGACATGGCAAACCAGCAGCAGCTGGTGTGGGCTGGGCGTGCGGGCAAAGACCGTGGCCACGGGCAGCTCTGGGGGGTGGGAGCAAAGGGGTGGGGGAAGCCCTGGTTGGGCACGGCTTGGCCCCAGGGCTTTGGGGTGGCTGTGGCAGGGTCAGGGTGGTCTCACCTTGTCTCTCCAGAGTGGCCCTCCCGTACTTGTTCAGGGTGCGGATTTGGCTCTGGCAGATGAAGGACAGGAGGTACTCCAGGAGTACTTTGATGGACGTCGCACTGTTTAGGTCTGTGATGACCTGCTCTGCCAGCTGGGATGCCTGCTGCATCTCCCAGCGCTCTTCATCCACCTCAAAAGCTGCAAGGTCTTTGCCACCCTCCCCGACACGCAGGAAGCCCCAGCTTGATGTGTTGGGGTGCAGCTCACAGCCCGCACGGATTTGGACCACCAGAGGGTCTGCCAAGGGCAAAGCCAGCGGAGAGGTCCCGTGAGTATGTGGCACATGGGTGGCACGAGGTGGGACGTGACTGAGGGCACGTGGAAGGGTGTGATGGGCAGCAGGGTGCAATGGGCAGCAGGGTGCAATGGGCAGCAGGGTGCAATGGGTAGCAGGGCACGGGGCCATGCTTCAGGAAACCCCAGACACCTTGCAAACCCCCAGGCCCCTTGGAAGGATGGAGTGAATACCAGACCAGTTAGTGTGGGGGTGCTTGTTTAAAAATAATACTGTGCCCCAAAATATTTGCCCTCAGTTTTCTCTTTCATGATCTTTGCTATGTGAGTCCTGCAGCCCCAGTAAATTTTGTGGCAACTCCCTGGTGTGCAGAGGGGGTTCCCTGTGCCAGATGGCAGAAGCCCCAAGGGGTTTCAGGTCTGCTGCCTTCCCTAGTCCTGCGAGTCATATGCCCCAGCAGCTGCAGCGTTACACTTTCAGGAGCTGTTGCACGCTATGAAACCCCCCCCAGATGCCACCCTGGTGGAGGAGGGCACAGCCTGAACCTGGGGAGAGGTGCCAGGGCTCTGACTGGAGTTGTTCCCATACTCACAGTCCATTTCTGTCTGCTGGACTTTGTCATGCACATATCGGACCATATTGCGCAGAGCCATTTGACTTTGGGACATCAGCTTCTTGGTGTCACCCTCGGCCGCAGCCTGGCTGACCCAGGGCCAGTGGAAGTGGATGCTCCAGTTGGCAGGATCCAGTGCAAAGATGGGCACATCCCCCAGGACTCCCATTGCTGACACCTCAGCAGAGGTCATGTCAGCAAAGAGGCCGGTCAGGAGGTACTGGAGAACCTGTGGCTCTGCTGGAAAGGAGGATGGGGATGAGAAGGGGTGTAAGAAGGAGATGAGTGGAGGGGCTAGGGGAGAAACAAGGGATTCAGACTAGATACAAGGAAGAAATTTTTTACTGTGAGGCTGGTGAGACACTGACACAGATTGCCCAGAGATGGGATGGATGCCCCATCCCTGGAAACATTCAAGAGCAAGTTGGATGGAACTCAGAGCAACCTGATCTAATGGAAGATGTCCCTTCCCATGGCAGATGGGGTTGGACTGGATGGTCTTTAAAGGTCCCTCCCACCCCAAACCATTCCGTGGTTCTATGATTCTGTGCTCTTCAGCCTGCTCAGGCTTTCTTGGCTGAACTTCCTCTGCCTTTGCTGCTCCTTTTCCTTCTCTATTTTACTTGCAATTGATTGTTTCTCTCCTGCGCAGGATTTCAGGCATTTTGTCTCCTCCCCTCCCTGCCTCCTTCCTGCCCAGCACTGCTGTCTGACTGTGTAGAGCAGATGAGGGGGCACCTCACTGCTTGTTTGGGGTGATGCTCCCCCCAGAATAACACCTGTGCCAGGACCTGTATCTGCATGACCTGTGCCTGGTGCAGAGGACATGGAGGATGGAAAAGAGCATTTTATCCAGGTTTGGGGGCTCCCTGAGAGGAGAGCACTGCAGCACATCTCAGAGATCAATCCTGCCTTCCCATGTGTGATGTTGCCCACCCCAGAAGCACAAGGTCTCACGGGGTTGTTTGTGGTAAAATGCTCGTACAACAGCAGTGCCTGAAACACCCTCTTGCAGGTGCAGCTCCACAAAAACGAGGGGCTGCTGGAAGGGGCCCATGGCAGCATGTGGGGCTGATTCCCCCTTGGCACTCATGGGCTCCCTGCAGGGGGAAGACATCATGGGGGGAACCTCAACACCCAAAGCCTGGCTAGGGACCCTGGTCTCTCTTCTGCTTGTGTGCCCAAGGCCCTGTGTCAAGCCAGTGGGGTAGAAGTCCAGAGCTGGGGGCAAGAACAGAGAGGGTGGGCAGGGACAAAACACCTTTGGGTCCTGCATTGTGGGGGGCAGCCCTTTGATGCTGGGGATCATCCCCCCCATGCAGGGGACAGTGGCCTCCTCTGAGGAACCTGTAGGGTCCTCTGACAGCAGGGATGAGAGTGGTTTGGGTGAGCCAGGGCTCCCACTTACCTTCTGGGTCTGCCCACATCCCAGGGAGGAGGAGGGGAAGAAAGGGGAAGAGGTGAGGGGGCTGCATGGTGCACGCAGGGGCTTAAGAAGCAGCAGCAGTGACTGTGGGAAGAGGAAGAACGTTGGGGTCCAACGCTTCAGCCCAGCCCAGCAGTCACTGCGGCAGCTCTGCACCAATGGGAGCGCAGTGAATGTGCTGGGGTGAGGGCTGGGGACGTGTGGGAGGGACGAGAGCTGAAATAATGTCTCGAGCATGAAGTGCTGTGACAGACTGGGCCTGGAGAAAGCCCAACCAGGTGCAAAGAGAGTCCCAGGAAGCATCGCTAGGAGAAAGCAAATGTTCAAGGGTCCCCCTGGCTCCCCCTCCCCACCAGTGGTACCTTGTCCTATCCCAGTTCTTGTGGGGTGCATCAGCTCCAATGGAGGGGATGATGGCTTTTGGATTTCAGCCCTGACTGGAGAAAGATGGTTGCTGTCCTCCCAGCCCCCACATGGCAAGAAGAGACGCTTTGTGTCCCCCCCTCTGGCACCTCCAGCTCAGGCTGCTCCTGCACCACCTGCCTAACCCTGGGGATGAGGATCCCAGGGAGGAGGTGACAAACAGTTCCTGACTAACCCCAAGCTGTGGGACGCTGCTGGGGAGCCCCAGCTCTGCCCTAAATGCTCCCAGGAGAGGGCCCAGGGGTGGGTCTGGCACTCCCCTTTCCTTTCTACCAACTTTGGTGCCAATGGGGACAGAGCAGGGGAATGGCTCTCACCGTTCCTGTTCCCATGCACAGGGGACTCTTGGGGAGGGGGACAGGATTCTGCAGCAGTGTCCAGTGGTACAATGGAGGCACAATGGTGAGCCAGCCTCACCCCCACAATGTCCCTGATCCACTGCTCCTCCCCAGCTCCTCCCCTCAACATGTAGTTTCTCTTCCCCTTCCCACGCTGGGAGAGAAGGCAGAACTGAAACCACAGCTGAGGGGAAATCTGAGGGGTGCACCTCAGTATGTCCAAACATGAAACCCCTTCCCTTCCATGGAGCTGTCCCAGTGAGAAGTAGGGATGCTGTGGTGGCCTGGTGTGCAAGTTCCGAGCTGGCTTCCTGCCAAGTCTCCGAAACTTGACAACAAAGACCTGCTTCCCAGAGAGGGAAGAAAAAAACCCAGCAGCCAAAGCTATAGCAAAAATATATATATATTACATATAAGACAGATATATACAATGAGAATATTATGTACTATACCCCCAGAAACCTTAAATAGCTCCCTAAAAGGGAAGAGGGGGAGGGAGAAGGGAAAAGGACAAAATAGGACAAAAAGGGGCAAGAACCAAACAAGTCTACACAATCTAAAAACCCGGTAACCAGCAAACTGAAGAACTATCAAAATCTTACCACTTCCCTTGAGAGAAGCAGATGGCTGGACACGGCCCAGCGCTCTCCCCTCATGCGTGGCAGATAACAGCAGTCAATGGAGGCCTCAGCTCCAGATAAGCCAGACCGAGACAGGGACCCACTGTTCTCGAACCTCGCCGGAAAGGAAGAGCGCGAGGTCCCTCCTGCTGGCTTTATTTATACCTCAACTTACGTAAGGGAATAGCATGGAATACTTCCGTGATCACCTTCCTAGTTCCTTCCTGGTTACAACCTGGTCTCCAGGAAGGCCTAGAGTGAAACCATCACACCTGGTAGGCCCAGAAATGGCACCAACTTCCCCAGCAGCGGCACCCAAGGGATGTCCAGCTATGCCACCACAAAGTTCCCTTGGAGCCACCAGTGCTGGGCCCAGAGGGGAGTGTTTGGCTGGTGGGATGGCAAAGAGCAGCCTTGGGGCAGTAAAGGGAGGGAAGG